AGTTGAGCACCTTTTCAAATACCTGTTGGTCATTTGTAAGTCGTCCTTGGAGAAATGACTATTCAAGTCCTCTTCCCATTTTTAAATCAGATTGTTTGCTTTTTTGCTACTGAGTTGTACAAATTTCTTGAATATTTAGGATATTAATCTCTTACTAGATATGTGGTTTGCAAATATTTTCTTCCATTCCATAGGTTGCCTTCCAATTTGTTGATGGTCTCTTTTTCTCTGCAGAACATTTTTAGGTTGATGTAGTCCCACTAATTTATTTTGCTCTTATTGCCTTTGCTTTTGATGTCAAATCCAAAAAATCATTGCCAAGACCAATGTCAAGGAGCTTAACTCCTATAAGGATTTCTTTTCTAGTTTTATGGTTTCAAGTCTTACATTTTTCCTTTATATCCCCTTCTGGTTCAAAGATTGCTATTTCTCCATAATCATTTGTCAATATTTTTTTAAATGAACCATTTAGATTTTCTTAGTCCAAGCATTTTTTTATTTCATACCTTGTTTTTTTCTACTTTTTCCCCCTTACCTTATTGAGCATAGCTCTGCCAGTTAGGATCAATTCTCAAAGCTTGAGCAGGAGACATCTGTTGCTGAAGCTGGATTCACTATTCAGCAAGCTGCCTGTAAGTTGATAATGGGACCCTATCACCAAATAATAACTGTTACTTTCCTCCTAATGTCCCTGAAGCATTATTAAATGTGGTACTTATAGCCTCTTATATGCAATTTACCTCTGTAAAAGGTCATCTCCAAGTATAGTACTTAAAAATATGCCACAAGGAACTGTGAGATTACATGCCGAACTATTCATTACTCAGCAAAGGCCTACATCGAACGAGTCCCATTTTAAATTTAGTCTCTTTCTCTTAAAAATGGCAATGGAATCTTCTTTGGTACATGTTCATTCACAGAAGGAAACATCCCATCTCTCTCAGTTTTCCGAACATTTTGAGCATTGCCTGGGCTCAGGAATGCTAACAAATCAAACGATGAAGCAGGTGATGTTTACCTTCAATCCCACTGGTCTTTCTCAGCACTTGAAAGACATGGAGGGTCATCATGTTTCCCTCGGGCTATCCAGGATCTCCTACCCTAATCACACTTTAACTTTCTCCTCTCAACAGTATCTTATGCTCTGGATCTTACCCAATTCCTGGTCCCCTCAAAAAACTAACCTGTCAAGCAAGTTCCAGGTTAAGATAGTGGATTAAAAACATAAATCTAATTTTACACCCTCTATATTAGTCAGCTTGAGCTGCTATAACAAAATATAATAGTCTAGGTGGCTTATAGCAAAAAATTATTTCTCTCAGTTCTGGAAGGCTGAGAAGCCCAAGATCGAGGTTCTGGTAGTTTCAGTTCTTGGTGAGGGTTCTCTTCCCAGCTTGCAGTCCGCTGCCTTCTCGCTGTATCCTCACATGGTGGAGCGAAAGAAAGGCTCTGGTCTCTCTTTCTTTTCTTATAAGGACAATAATCCCATCATGAGGCCCCGTCCTAAGGCACTCAACTAAGCCAATTATCTCCCAAAAGCCCCACCTTCAAATACCATCACATTGAGGATTAGGGCTTCAATATGTAAATTTAAGGGAGATACAAGTATTCAGCCCATAATATTCTGCTCCTGACCCCCAAAATTCATGTCTTCAAATGCATAATACATTCATTCCATCCTAACAGCCTCAATTTCTTAACTTATTCAAGAATCAATATTAAAGTTTCAAGTCCAAAGTATCATCTAAATATCATCTGAATTAGATACCAGTGAGATTCATGGCTTGATTCATCTTGAGGCAAAATTCCTTTCCAGCTGTCAACCTATGAAACCAGACAAATTATATGCTTTCAAAGTACAATAATGGGACAGGCATAAGACAGACATTCCCATTCTAAAAGGGAGAAATTGGAAGGAGGATAGAGGTGATAGGTCCCAGAAAAATCCTAGCAAGACAAATACCATTAAATCTTAAGGCTCAAGAATAATCCTGCTTGGTTCAGTGATCTGCCTTCCAGATCCATTGGGGTTACAGTCCCACCTCTGTGGCTCTTCCGAGTGGGAATCGTGCCCCCGAGGCTCCGGCTGACCACTGTCTGGCCTGTTGAAACTAAGGCAATGGCCTCCACTTTGAAACCAAGGGGGCATTCCTGATGTATGGATTGGCTTTGGGGTCATTCTTCTTTTGTTTTGAAGAATAAGGCATGTTCACAGCCAAATAGCTCTATGTTTTGGTCCTGTAGGGTCTAAGAAATCTGATGGCCTTCCTTCATTTTGTCCCATCTCTACCTCCTTCAGTTCATATTGACAGTGTTTCTGCTAGAGTGGCTGATTAGATTCATAATAATCTTCTTATGAAATGGTTATTTGGCCACACTCAGTGTTCTTTTCAGAACAAGCTTTCTCATTTTTCACAATGTGGATATGCTGAAATTTTTCCAAATCTTTAAGTTCTGATTCCTTTTTGCTTAATAATTTCTTCTTCAATTCATCTCTCTACTCACATTTTACTATGCACAGTCAGGAGGAACCAAGCCACTCCTTCAACACTTTGCTTAGAAGTCTCACCTAGGGCCGGCCCCGTGGCTTAGCGGTTAAGTGCGCGTGCTCCGCTACTGGCAGCCCGGGTTCGGATCCCGGGCGCGCACTGACGCACCGCTTGTCTGGCCGTGCTGAGGCCACGTCCCACATACAGCAACTAGAAGGATGTGCAACTATGACATACAATTATCTACTGGGGCTTTGGGGGAAAAAACGAGGAGGAGTGGCAATAGATGTCAGCTCAGAGTCGGTCTTCCTCAGCAAAAAGAGGAGGATTAGCATGGATGTTAGCTCAGGGCTGATCTTCCTCACAAAAAAAAAAAAGAAGAAGTCTCATCTAAATAGTTAACTAATATCTATCTAAATATTTAATATCTTATTTAAGGATCACAAGGTCTACTTCCCACAAAACACTAGTCTACAGTTCAGCCAAATTATTTGCCACTTTATAACAAGGATCTCCTTTTCTCCATTGTCCAATAACATCTTCATTTCTCTTTGAGACTTCACCAGAATGGTCTTTAATGCCCATATTTCTGCCAACATTCTGTTTGTGATTACTTATGTATTCTCTAAGAAGATGGAAGATTTCTTTCCAGCCCTCCTCTTTTCTTTCCAAGTCCTCACCAGAATTGCCCTAACATCCATACTGTTAGCATGCACCTCAAAATTTCTCCAACTTCTACCCTTTACCAAGTTACAAAGCTGCTTCCATATTTTTAGGTAATTATTCCAGCAGCACCCCACTTCTCAACGCCAAAATCTGTTCCAGTCAGCTTGGGCCACTATAACAAAATATCATGGACTGGGTGGCTTAAATAGCAGAAATTTATTTCTCAGAGTTCTGGAGGCTAGGAAGTCCAATCTCAAGGTTCTGGAAGATTCGGTTCCACGTGAAAGCCCCCTCCTGGCTTGCAGATGCCAGCCTTCTCACTGTATCCTCATGTGGCAAAGAGGGAAAGAATCCTGGTCTCTCTTCTTCCTATAAGAACACTAAGCCCATAATGGGGGACCCACCCTAATACTCTCATCTAAACTTAATAATTATCTCCTGAGGTCCCACCTCCAAATATCATCATATTGAGTGTTAGGGTTTCAACATATAATTCGGGGGTGAACACAAACATTCAGTCCATAACACCCTAACCAAACCTGTCTAAATGTAAAATAAAGGGATAAAAAGATGTGGAATCACAAAGACAATGAGAACAGGAGAAAGAACAAGAGCAAAAATAATTTTGAATCTGGAAAGCAAACTGATAAAAGACAACAAAACCCTGAGCCTACAAGAAAACAGTAAGAAATCAACTTAACTTATACCTGATAATCCTCAAAGGCCTGGGAACTGGAAGCACAGATATCTATCTATGATATCTATGAAAATTAAGATATCTATGAAATTAAGATTAAAAAGGGGGCACTAAAAATGAGGAGGATTTGATAAAATCGCTTCAAAAAGTCATCATATTTCTAGATCTACTCCCCAACTCTGGTTTGTGATTGTCCTTGCACAAACCAAGTAGAAATTTGGAGACTGATTTTACTATGAAGAGGATAAAAGAGAGTATGCTGGTTAATTTTTGTGTGTGTCAATTTAGCTATGGTGCCTAGGTTTTTGGTCATATTTCAGTCTAGATGCTGCTGTGAAGATATTTTTTAGATGTGATTAACGTTGAAATCGGTAGACTTTGAGTAAACAGAATACCCTCCATAATGTGGTTGAGCCTCATCCAATCAACTGAAGGGCTTCAGAGCAAAAACTGATATATAATAAATGATTCCCTGGAGAATGCTGACTATTGCAGAGGATCTCTGAACTGGAGAGAGCCTGCCATAGTCACAGTGAAAGGGACAAGGTGAAAGCATAGGAATTAAAGGAATGTGTGCATGCTGAATGCTGAATACTGAAACTTCCAGCCTATGGACCCCATGCTACTCCTGAAATGTAATAACCAGACTCCTACCCTCTGGAAATTGAAAGATCCTTCTCTAAAGAATATGACCAGCCCCAAAGAAAAAGTCTAAAAATACTGACTTTGGGGGTTTTCCTTTAAATAGCTCATCCAGATCACCCTATAGTGAAGCTTCAAGACAACAAGCTTAAGCTACACTCTCAGAGCTTCTGATCAGATTTTTAAATCCTCATCCTTAATCATGAGCAGACAACCCTGGATTACTTCATATCTAAGGAAAGCCTCTAACATAAAAAATAGAAACAACACAAATAAATGAAAAATATAAAGTAACTAGGAGAGATAGAGAAGAAATTTGTTGAGTTAAGAAAACTTAAAATGATTTTTTTAATATCAGTGGAGTAATAATAGAAGATATTCTATTCATGAACCAAGAACAGGATATTTTAAGAAAGAAAATTCAGAGAACAAATTAAAATAACTCATAAATTAAAAGCATGTTAGAAATCAAAAGCTTCAGGGAGAGATAAAATATAAACTTGAAGAAATCTCGAGAAAATAGAGCACAAAGAGATGAAACTAAGAAAGTAAGATAAGAAAATTGAAAGTCCAATCCAGAACAAGTTAAAAGTATAAGAGTTCCTGGAAGAGAAAAGAGGGAAGAAAGACAAGGAGGAATCATGAATGAACTAGTTCAAGAAGACTTCCCCAAACTAAAGGATAGTTTCCAGGTTAAAAAAAACCCCACAAGAACCCAGCAAAATGGATAAAAATAGACCAAAGCATAATATTGTGAAAACTCAGTTTTTTGGAGCCACTTCAAGCTATTTAATGCTTCCAGTAAGAAGGAAAGGGGTATTCAGGTTTCTGAAAAGCAACACTGGAAACTGTACCAATGCCTTCAGAATTATTAAGAAAAACAATTCTGAATGTAGAATCCAATACCTAGGCAAACTACCAATCAAGAATCAGAATAGATTGAAAATATCTTCAAATTGTTAAGATCTCAAGCTATTAACCTCCCATACATCTCTTTCACAGACAGCTACTGGAAGATATTTTTCACCAGAAGTAGGGAGTAAACTAAGAAAGAATACACATGGGACTAAGAATCAGGAGATACAACACAAGAGAGAAGCAAAGGCCACCACCAGGATGATGGTGAAGAGGGTTCCCAGTATAACTGCTGTGTACCAAATGTAGACAGCAGCCAATCCAAACTGAAGCAAGTTTAAAAATTTGTGGCCAGGAACAGTGCAGGACCCCATATCTACAGCCAGCTTTTCCTTCAGAATGAAATGTTGGGCATACTGAAATTAAAGGAACAATCACTTTTATTGGTGACATCCATCATGGTGACAGTGTACAGCTAAGTCTAAATGACAAGACAATAAAGAAATATATTCCTATCAGGAATGTTTACACCAAAGCCTGGTGTCTCTGTTTTAATCAGTGTCCTGGAAAGATCTATCTTCTTCCTATAAGCTACAATGCAGAAGAAAACACAAATATGCCTAAATAAAAGGAATTCTCCTATGTACATACATGTTTATATATGCATGGAATATTTCTAAAGGATTCCTTATAAGCTGATAGCAGTATTTACCCCCAGGGAAAGGAACTGGGTGGCTGGAGGGGAAAAGTTGACTGAAAACTTAATTTTCACAATTTACCACTTCGATTCTTTTAAAAATTATAATATGTTCTTGTATTACCTAGTGAAGAAATGATTAAAATAAAATATATTTCCCACAAAATATTTTAAACAAACATACTTTTTTTTTTCTTTGTGAAGAAGATCAGCCCTGAGCTAACATCCATGCCAATTCTCCTCTTTTTGCTGAGGATGACCGGCCCTGAGCTAACATCTATTGCCAATCCTCCTCCTTTTTTTTCCCTTTTTCTCCCCAAAGCCCCAGTAGATAGTTGTATGTCATGGCTGCACATCCTTCTAGTTGCTGTATGTGGGACACGGCCTCAGCATGGCCGGACAAGCGGTGTGTCAGTGTGCACCCGGGATCTGAACCCTGGCCACCAGTAGCAGAGTGGGCGCACCTAACCACTAAGCCAAGGCGCCGGCCCTCCAAACATACTTTTGATTCAGCGATTTTACTTGTAGGGATTTTCTAACAAATAAACCTAAATATGTACAAGATGACGTGAGTAGGAGATTATTCATTGCCACATTGCTTGTAATACCAAAGACTGGCAACAGTATGAATAACCATCAATAGGGCAACAGTGAAATAAATGATAACATTATAGGAAAGAAATAAGACCAGACAGAGAAGTAATCTCAATAAACGTCAATGAATTAAACACCAATTTCCTACAAACATGTGACAAGATGCCTAATGACAGTAAAAATTGGAGAAATACAGAGTAAAATAGCAATGAACTACATTTCCATATCCATTAGATTGACAGTCTGGTAATATCTAGCATTGATTATGATATAGGGAAACTAACTCTCAAGTAGAGATTTGCCAATATTTTCTTGTCAGAATCTATATATCCCCACATTTACAGCCAGGGTGTCTACTTCTAGTCAACATGAGCTGTCAAAACTGCCCCACTCATCTTCCCATTTATCCCCTAGAAACAATCTAATGTTCACCAAGAAATCTCCCTGGTGGATTCGAGGTGCCATCCTCACTCTTTGTGCCCTATGGTTCCATTGTGGTGTATTGTCAAACTCTATGCCTCATTTACAGCCCAGAATCTCGATCCCTGTTGCCCAGTCTGCTTTCTTGAGCCCCTGGTGTGGGACGTTTTAGTGTCTCCTCGTCTTTTTCATTAGTGAAACCCACTGCATTTTGTCTGTTAAGGTTTTGGTTATCTGTCCACCTTCATGCTTGCTCTCCTTTGACTTTGCTTCTGCACATCATGCTTGCTGCTTTTGTACTATAGCAGCATGATAACAGAGTGGGCAGACAACATGGTTTGTGGGAGATGGACTGAGAAAGAGAAAGAAGAAAGAGATCTAACATTTATTGAGTATTAACTATATGCCTACAATCATATATAATTTATTTTTTTAATTCTTAAAATAACATTGAAAGAAAGGCAACGTTATTTTCCCCATTTTACAGAGGAGAAAACACGTCCTGATTTTTTTTTTTAAATTATGTCTGTGTTTTGTTTTGTTTTTTAATTGTATGTGAGGAGATCATAGAGAGTTGATCCAAATGTGCAAGAGAAACATTTCTCAGTCACATTTGAAGAGACAGTACTTAAAAATCAGTGAAACGCTTTTGTGGTTAGATATGATCTACACAACCTGGCCTCCAACCCCACCCCTCTCACCTCCCTGACATTTTCGCTTAGTGCTCCCCATCTTAGATTCACTCAGCAGCCCTAGGGCCATCTTGGTTTTCTCACACACTCCAGACCTATTCCTTTCTCAGGACATTTCCACTTGCTGCTTCCCTTGCTTGGACTGCCTTTTCCCCCAGTGACTTGCTCCCTCACCTCCTTCAGGTCTTTGCTCAAACATCTCCTCAGTAATAATCACTCAGCTTAAAATTGCAACTCCCTATCCCTCTTCTCTTTTTTATTTTTCTCCATTGCACTTACCACCATTTAATAGTTTGAATATTTTATTTATTTGTGTACTCTCTGCCTTCCTCGCTAGAATGTAAATTCCACAGGACAGAGACTTTTGTCTGTGTACTTCCTGTGCCTAGGCCATTTCCTGGCACAGGGTAGATGTTTGATTAATATTTACCAAATGAAATAAAATGAATAAACTAAGTTTAGGAAAAGTTGACTTAAGTGAAGTTAATCAGATTTTTTAACTGCAGGAGAAAGAGCCCTTAATATTCCAATGGGTATTTTCAATCACCAAGAAGAGAATCTAGCATGCACAATTTCCCAAACTTACATAAATATATAACCTTCTTTTCATAGAGCAGCTTTGAGGAACTTGCGGTTAAATGGAAATGGAGTTGTAAGAGCACGTTTTGATGAGAAGGAAAAGGGGGAGGACACTAGAATCCAGTGTGTCTGAAATGAAGTGGGAGAGAGCCATTTCACTCATTCATTCATTTATTTGTTTAGAAAATACCTATTTAGTGCATCTGATGGGCCACGAACGCTTCCAGACATAGAGGACAAGGCAGAGACGAAAAGCAGCCGCAGCCCCAGCTCTCACAGGGCTCCCATCCTCTACTGACCCCTCTGGCTTTGCTGACTGCTTTTAATCCTACAAAATCTCAGAGAAAGAATATTCCAAGCCTGTGTCACTGTTGTTTCAAGACTTTTCTTTCCAATTAGAAAGATACAGAAATATAATTAACCCCTGGATGAAGAAACCACATGTAAATTTGGGAAGCAACACAAGCCATGGATTTCCCACCTGCTCTAATTTCATCCCTTCAAGATCTGAACAATAATCAATATGTCGCCATCCAGAAGGTATGACTGTGGAATCCCAGATGACCACCTCTGACAGAATTGTACTCTTTTATCACTATCTTCCTTTGTAACATGGGAGTGATCATAATGCAGAAGAAAGGGGGCTGGCTAGAATACTAATTGGCAGGAAGTTGTTCTGTCATCTCCAGGAGCCAATAAAAATAAATAAATAAATAATTTTATCTTTAAAAAGGTCTTGTCTTCTTGAAACAGAAAACAGGGCAACAACGTATTGTTCAATGAGCTATTGTGGCTCACTCTGAAAATTACTTGTCATGGCAGTAGGCAAGTGTCACCCCTGAAGTCAGCAGCCTGAAGCAGATAGATTGTTTCAATTATCTAATTTTCACAATGAGTGAACCCTGCTTATAGGAAATCCATAGGTGGTTGGCAGTGGTAAATGATGACTGTGGCATGTTGGGAGCCGGTAGATTTACATTCTCTCTCAAAATACAAAACAGGATTGTAATTTTCTGTAAATATTCACAGAAGTAAAACAGGAAGAGTAGGAGGAAGGGAGGAACTCATAAAACTTCCCCTTTTGTCTTAGCTCCTAGATGTGTCTTTTCTTTCCAAATTGTCTTTTCCATGTCTAGTTCAGACAATGATGCAGGTACACATGGACACTTTTGTGGCCTATTGTCTGACTGCATCTCCCTCTTCCCACTGCGCCTCTTATAGTGCTTTGGAGGTGTTATACACATGGCCAGCAAATGCCCCCAAGAAGTCCTTGGCCTCAATGGAAAGTGCTGTTTCACAAAGTAAATTTCACATCAAATGTATGAGAAAATTGCATATAAAGCTCTCTGCTAAACAAGAAATTCAATTACCCTGCATTTGAATAATTCCTCTTCTCTGTGTCTTCTCCCAACATTTTTAGGCCAGTTGTCTAGAGCATTTTTAGGGAGGCCAAAGGGATTGCAATAATTTTCTGCCCCACCCAGATAGATGTCCTTGATTTCAATAAAACCACGAAAGAGGTACACCTGGTGATTGGTGCATTCTCATCATCCAACTCACCCCTCAGGAGTGGGCAACTCATTAATGTGGTCCTTCTTTGCTCCTTCCCACCCCTTCTATCCCAAACAGGGCTGATATGGCTCTGGTTTTATCTCCCTTACTGCCATCCCTGTTCCCAACC